AGCTGCTGGAGAAATGTGTCTTGTTGACTCTTCACAATGTAGAAGCCAAAGAGCTCCTGCCATTCCACCCAGCATCCCTGTACAGTGCAGTGTTTAGCACTATGGATCACTAGGGCTTTACGGGACTCCGTGGGGGACTGAGGGTATCTTCTCCCCCATTGATGTCCCTGGAAGACTGGTGTTTGTTCCCAAAGGATTTCACCATAATGGGGAGTCACAGCTTAATTTGCCAGGTTTGTGAGACCATGCAATTACAAAGAAAGGCAGAAGTCTTTAAGTTCAATAGATTCTGTGGATTCTCATTGCTACAGGATGTCTCTAAAACCAGGAATGCTCAGAAGGATTGAAGGGCATAAGGAATACTCATAGTTATGAGTAGAAGAGGTGTAAGAAATGGGTATAGTTAATGTGAAATTTTCTTATACTTCAGAGTTTAAGCTGAACTCTTAGCTCATATGGGATCCAGGTAATGTGTTCCAGGATGCTTCTGTTTAAGGGAATCAATTTACATCATCCTTGCATTGCCTTTACTCTGAACATGGACATCATCATGCCCTTCAAATTGTGTCCGGAGGATTGTGCAGATTTATCTTCTGAATTCTTCAGCATTAGTGCTCCAGTAAGATCTTGCTGGGAGATTTACCCTGTAAACCCACCATATCCTCCTCTGCATGGTTAGAGCAGCACTCCTTTGGGCAAAAGCTTTTCACCTTCACCACCTTTGAACTTCTTGGCATTGGTAATCTTGAAGAGAGTCATGCTTCTAACAGCAGTGCTTGCAGACCAAGCCCAGAGTATCTGCAGCTGGGTCCCTCCGTGCAGCAATTGTCTAATCATTAGGAGCTGCTTGCCTGCCAGGTTTTTCTGTGGTATTTACAGCATTTCTAATATCACTTAATTAGTCAAAATGCAGGTTTGGAATTGTGCCCATCAGAATTTTTACTTGTTGAGGGCATTTTGCTTCAGAAAGCTAAGATGGACCCCAAGTAAGGGCATGAACTTGTGCTCTGGAGTGCAATGGGACCCAAAAATTGGAGGGCAATAAATGCCTGCTGGGAAACATTGCCTAAACTGTTTTTAAGAAGGCAGTTTGAGGACACAAATGAGTCCTGCTTACAACATTGTGATGTTACCAAGTGTCCTTTTAGGAGATTAAAGATTTCTAATTTTAAAGGATTTTAAAATGTGATTGCTATGAACACACAATGCCCCTTATTGGTGTCCTGTTCCCGCATAGAGCCTTCGCTCCGTCCTTCAGGGAAATAATGAGGCTTGCACACTGAGTTGGGAAACTTCTGTGCTCTTTGGTGCCCACCCAGAACAAGCAGCCCTTTCTAACTGAAATATATTCCATTCTTTTGGCCAGGGAAGAGCTTGACAGAAACAAGAATCTTGGGAGGTCACCAGCCTCCCTGTTGCACTTTCATCCTCTCTGCACAGGGTGCAGACAGACCAGGGGATGGCAGTGAAAATGAACCTGTGTTCTTTCTGTATAGCTGAAATACAACTTTTTTGTGCTTGTAAGGTGGGTTTCGCTGCTAAGGATGTCTTGGTATGAAGATTTCTCTGTTCTGACTGGACTGGAACAGCACTTGATGCTTGATATGATTGGGTTGTAATTTTTCCCTTCATCTTCCCAAGCTAGTATTTGTATCAACTGATAACAGAGTATCTAGCCCATCTGTTGACTTGTCGAGAGCAGTGCAGGATTGCTGATAAATTTCTTGCTCCCACCCTCCACAAAAACGACAAAAACCAACCTGAACAGGGTTGCGTTGGCTGCAGATGGCTCATCCAGCACCGTAAGTAGAAAAAGCAGGTGTTGCAGCAGCCTTGGCCCAGAGGTAACCCAGCTCTGTTGCTGGCACAACTTCAAAGAGCTGTTGGAGGTGCTGTCAGGCAGATTGATAGTGCGATCTGTGTTGAAATGTTTTCTGATAAATGAAACAGCCTACTCCATTCTCCTCCAAAGACACACCATGAGTTCTAGGTCTGTGCATCAGGACTTTACACTCCCTCTTCTTCAGCTGGGGCCATCTAGGAGTGCCTTTGGTTGCAGACGTTGTGAGTTGGTGAAAGGTTAACCAACAGTTGCTGCACTGCATTGCACCAGCATTGCCCATAGCTGGAGACAAAGGAACAACCAGCAGTGTCAACCAAGTTGAAGGAGAAGTTCCTGAGATCAACCTTGCTCACCGTTCAGGTAAAAAGACCATCAGAGACCTCCTCCGAGCTATCAAATGATGTCCAAGAAACCATGTGTGTATGTGTACGTTAATCTGGTGTGCAGGAATTTTTGGCTCAGAGATCAGCTTGTGATACAGATCTCTCATGAAGCAAACATGTCCATGAAACAAAATCATACAGTTATAGCATTGAGCTGAAGATGAAAAATGGCATCAGATACTCATTCCTTTTCTTTCCATTGCCACTTAGTCTTTTCACACCTGAATCTTTGATAATCTTTATATTCAGAAACATAATTCATATTTTATAACAAATCTAATCTTGATTAAAAAATAGCTGGGCAAACTTAAATCATTCTTACGATCTTACCTGTAATGAGAGACAAATGGAAAGTTATATAGAAACAGAATAGCTTGGAGATGTTCTTCTACCTCTTCCGTTTGTGCCTTGGAGCTGTCTGCAGGATCTCAGCTGTATTGAACACGCTCAAATCTTATTTTAATATACATATCCTGGGCTTTTTTGGCAGTAGTATAGTTCCTCATGTCTGAGGTTTCCCTGGTTCTGTGTTACTCCGGCATTTTGTTAGTGATTATGGAATGTAAATGATGATGTTTTCAGCACTCACAAAACCATCTGTTGCCCAAGATGCATGGAAGTCACAAGTTGAGTGTGTTGAAGATGTGCTGCATCAAGGACGTCAGCAAAGAGGGACTCGGTGGTGAGTTAGTATCATGTGGCAGAGCAGAAGACAGAGCTGAAGACAACAGAGGATTTCAGGCTAATCACCCACGATGCATTTGCCTATGTTTTTTTAATAAGGTGAATGAAGATTTGCCCAGAATTTGTAATGATGCTGTGAGCAGAGCAAAGAGGTGAGAGCAGAGGGACCAGAAGAGGAGACCAGTTCATAGCATTAGATTTCCTTAGAGGTGGAGGGCTGGGCAATGCCAGAACCCCTGCTGATTGCTGTGGCTCCTGCATGGGATGTGGGAGCTCTGCAAGGGGCTCTGCAGGTGGAGGTGAAAGGAAACTGAAGCTGATGAAACCAGCAGAGGAAGAAAAGAACTGTATTCTCTTTCCTTCCCTGGTTATATTTTCCCTCTTGTTTCTCCCAGATGCTCCTTGCCCACCTCTTCATCATTCAGTGATGTGTTTAGCAAGATTCATGAGTTTCTCCTTGCGCTTAAAGAGTGAATAAATTATTCCAGGATGCCAGTTTTCTGGGGGAGGGCAAAGCTTTTTTGTCTTTAGAAATCTGGCTCTGGCCTGGTGTTTCCTGGCCTTTCAGCATAAACCAAAGTCATATGGGGACTGCTCCTCTGTTTCCTTGTTGCCTGTCTGCAGAGGCCCTTGCTACAAGCTTTTGTGAGGTTGAAATTTAATTACAGGTGTGCACAGGCAGCTGTAAGCTTGAGTCTTTTATTCCTTGCTCTGTTGTCCATGAGGAGAGGAGGTTTCTCAGACCATACCAAGCAATTACTAGTTTTTCTGTCTTCCCTCCCTCCCTATCCAATGCATCTTTGCCTTCTTTTGATAATGAGGTGGTTACATGGACCCTGGGGTGACCCATTTGTTTAGCCTGCGCCTGGGATACCTGGCAATGCTGGTAGCCCTGGTCTACCAGCTCTGTGCTGTTATCTTTCGAGGCCTGGTGGGGCTGAGCATGTACCTCAAAGCAGTGCTTGGGTCTAGGGTTAAGCAGAGGCCTTGCAAGTGCAGGCACGGTGTGTCCCCAGCTGAAGAAAAGGTGATGCAGACTCTTCTCTGCCAGTTCCTCCTATCAGTTCCTATGAGCATTTTATGGGAGTCCTGGTACCCCAGAGCTAGTGTAAGAGGGGGATAGAAAAGGAGCAGCCCAGTGGTGGGCTATTTTCTCAGTCATTCCCTTCTCATTTAAACCCTGCTGAAATCTTGACACTGCTGTATATCAGGATGGGTCAGTCATCAGTGAAGCTTTTTTTCCTGCAGGTTCCTTTTCATGGCATTGTTTCATTCTAGTTCTCCACCTAAACCCTGATGGTTGTTTTAGGAAGGAGGAATTTCAAGGGCTGTGGATTTCTCTGCCCGTTATCACCATGGTGTGTCCTCATTAGGGCTCGCTGTTCTGTGGTACCTAGACAGGAGATCACAGAAGGAGACGTTGACAGTCCATGTGTTTACCCAGTGATGGGAACATGGGTTCTGTCGGCGTTACAGAAGCATCTTACATTTACAAGCCCTTTTTTGAAGCTCTTTGCCACAGTATCCAGTGTCACCACATTTCTTATTAGCATTGCACTTGTTTTTAGCATCGCACATGTTTTAGCAACGTGGAGAATACTGTCCTCCTGGGTTATGAGGCAGGAGAACAGACACGAAGCACCAAGAGGTTAACCACCTTCCCCAGGAATGCTCAGAGTATCAAGGTCTTGATCCAGCTCCTTCCCTCCTGTCGTTGCCTGCTCTAGCAGAGCCCTGGAGACTTTCTGCAGTTGAGCAGAGAGGAGTCAACACAGTAAGACTCCGAATCCGACCAGGGTCCTGACCTAGTGAATTCGCCCAGCGTGCCCTTGCTGGAGGTTGTCCCTGTTGCCTGTGGCTCCTGCATGCTGTGGGTGACAGCTGCAGCAATATTCATCTTTTTTTCCTTTCAGTGATTAGCACGGGTGTCCCAGCTCCATTGATTTCCTCAGCTCTGGTCCGGGGAGAAACCTCCCCTTTTCCTGCCTCCCTGCTTTTCTGTGTGCAGCTGATCACCGTAGCAGGGGGTATTGATTTACTAATTGGGCAATGATTTCTCCTGATTGATAATAAAGTGTTGGACAACCTTCCCGCTGAGCTGAAACTCAGCCCGGCAGCTACCAGTGGATTACTTGTCCTCGGCAGCAAATAGTTCCCTGTTGTTAAGTAAACTGATCTGTTGCCTGGTAACCCTCGAATTACGGTAGTAAAGGCTTGGAGTGTCAAAGAGAAACTTCATCGGGTGGTGGAGGAGACTGAGCAAAGAGGCTGCAGCGAGGCCAGCTGAGGGTCCCCCTTGAGCTGGTGCTGTGCGGGCACCTGTAGCTTGTGCCGTGCAGGAAGGCAGTGGAATGTGGCACGTTTTCCCCTGGAGGTGTTGCAGGTATGGCTTTGTGGGTGCACATCTACTTCGTTAGCCTTGGGGCTGCCTTGGGGTTGATGGTTATCTCTTTGGCTTGGTTCCTGTGGGTTCAAGCAGGGCAGAGACTTTGCATCTTATTCCTCCAACCCCAGCCAGAGCTTGGGCCTGGCAAGTTAGAGTGAAATCGGGGATTACACTAAGGTGTCAGAGTCTTCTCCCTGCACCTTCTGGGCTCCCTCTCCTAGGGCAACACTCTTTTCCAAGGTAGTTCATCACAGTGTCCTCTAATCATTCTGGTGCTTCCTTCCAAACCCACACCTGCCACAAGACCTACCCAGGGATGGGGAAGCAACCTCTGGAAAAGGAGGCGAGAAAATATGCCAAAGGTTTGCTGTCCTTTCTTCATGTGTTTGGCCTGTTGAATGAATTAGTCCCTTGCTTCAAGGGACTAGCCATCCTAGCCTGGAATGCTTTATCCTCTTGTAATCCCCAGCACGTTCCTGGATTCCTGTAAAGCTTCAAGATCCCTTACTTTGTATTGCAATAAAGACAAGTCTTGGATGTGCAGACCCCAGTAGATGAGACCCCGTTGTGCTCGGGGCTGTAAGGAACACCAGGTTCTGCCGTGGAGAGCTGCAGTCTAAGTAGGTAAGAGAGGGTGATAACAGCAGAAACGAGGACAGGATTTGCCCAAGGTCACAGAGCAGACGGTGGCAGAACTTGTGGGGGAAAAAAAAATGCTGAGTGGGTTTATGTATTTATAGCCAGCAATTTAGGGCTGCAGGGAGATCCATGTTGGAGCGTGGTGCTGGGCAAAATGCAGCTACCTTTGCAAAAGGCAGTCTCTGGAGAGGACGGCTGCAAAGTGCGTGTGATACCTGCAGGACACTGCAAGAGGAGAGCCCAGTAGTTTTACACTCTTGAAATATTTCCTTTTCCTTTCTCTATTTTTTTTTCTTTCTTCCTTTGCTTGTTTGTTTGCATTTTGTTTTCAAGCCCTGGATATAAGCTCTGTTTATAAAATGTTTCCATTGTTCAGTGTCTTAAGGCTGTTAAGGTTTTTTTTTATATTATTATAATTTTCAAAGTGCTGTGTCACCTAATTCATCAGCCTTCAGCGCAGAAGCTTCCCTCCTTCTCCCCGCCACCCCTGCACGAGCATTTGTACAGAACAAAGGCTTGCTTTTAAAAACGGCATGATATTTTGCCACCTTTGTGAAAACCTGTCACAACAATATCTAATTTTGCATGAGACAGAATTTCAAATCAAGCCTCAAGAAAAGGAAGCTGCTCTTCTGCTAATGCGCAAATGTCACTTTCCGCAGCTGTAAAATCCGTAACCCACCTAGCAGCGTTTGGGAGGGAAGGAAATCTAATTCCTGTTCCCTTCCCTCTGCCCAGGTCTGACCTTCCCAAAGGCAAACGTGGCAAGACCCATGGCAAGCGTGGCCTCGCTGAGATCTTGCGCTCCGAATATTCCAGTGGGATGGACACTGGGGTATCCAAGGTCAAGAAGAAGAAAAAACAGAGAAAACCTGGCAACCAGGAGAATCCAACATAAGCCGGGACCTTCCAGTCATTTGCTGTGAAACCTGCTGGAGGGCCTCAGCCGGGGGCCGGGGTGACCTGCCAAATAACTGAGGACGGCTTCAATTTATCAGGCAAATATGGGAGGGATCTTGGGGGAGCTCAGCCTCCTCCCCCTTGCTCCGTAGCTCCAAGTGGAATTGAATCCACACACGTCCTGTTGCACTGCTGCGTTTAAGTGCAGCTTCCTGAAGATGTATCGTGTTTCTAAGATTTCTTTGTAAGGAAAATAAAAGAGATTAAGTATGGGTTTTGAACCAACATCTATTTGATATTAAAATGAGACAAATCTATTAGCAATGTTAAGAAATACCTTCTTATTTAAAAGAAAAAAAAAAGTCCTATTTAATAGTGTTCCTATTCCTGTAGGAACACTCTGGCCTGTGTTTGGTTGTTTAATTTAAACTACAGAAAAAAAGTATTAAAATGTTTCCAGGTGCAGGTTTAAGAGGAGAGGAAGCTGCTCTACCCCTGATATCAGCTAGTGGGACGTTTCTGCTCCTGTCTCAGGTAACGTAACCATGTTGCTGTCGCCATCTCTCCTGTCCTTTGTACATTGGTGCAAGGTCTGTCCTGGGTATTGGCCATTAATCAGATGTTTCCAGGTCCTCTAAGGCGTCTCCTTGATTTTCCTGGGACCGGTAGGACTGCGGAGAACTCAGAGCAATGATTCAGGGTCCCTTAGGGACAGAACTTAATGCCAAAACGCTTATATGTTTAGGAATGAGCCTTGTTGCTGTCGGAAGGAGCCAGAGGTAGAATCCAGCAATCTCCAAACTTTTCTTTTGCCTGCAGCGTATTGTCATCCCTAATTGTGTAACGCAGGCTACGAGTGAATCGTCTCCCCTCTCTGAACGTTAAAGCCCTTGCAGAGTCTAGCTAACACTTGCCAGCAGTAACCCCGGCTTTGTAACGTCAGGAGCCCTTGTGATAGGGCTAAACCTTGAGCTTTGCTTCTGGAGTATGGCCCAAGCTCATGGATTTCACTTCTTGCTTCTCCCTGTTTGTCTTTTTTTTTTTTCTTTTCAACAAAAAAGTGCAGAGTAGTGAGAGTAGAACCTGCTGGGAGCTCTTTTTGAGGATGGGCCCTAGACATGCTGAGATAAACTCATGGCCCAGTGCATTAAAGGTGATCGGAGCTGTAGCACAGTCATGGCAAAACTCCCCTTGGGTTGGACAACTCGGAGAGTAGGTGCAGGAGAGGGGGGAGACCAACACATACCCTGAGCTCGGTGCCACCCTCGTGCTTCCCGGAACAGCACACACTGGAAAACAGCACAAAGCAGCCCACGTACAACTTGCTGTTGCCTGCAGGTATCTTAAGAGAAGCCCGTGGGTGCCAAGTCCAGCATGTTGCTCAATCCAGGACCAGAAGGTGCTGCAATACAGGGGCCGCTTCAGGCAGCCAAAGAAACGGCCAAGAGGACCGAGGGGGGCGTGACCAGGTAAAAGTGATACCGTGGGTGAGGACAGGGTTGACAGCACCTAGTACTGGGCTGTAGTGAGTCAGTCTAGGGAGCGAGAAGAGCGAGCAGCCCAAAAGTATTTAATTTCTCCACTGAATGTAACTTTTGAGAACGAAAATGGCTTTTGTTCCTGGCAGGCAATTAAAAGAGTTTTGCAGGTTTAAATGCAGGAGGGTTTTGAACATCTGAGCATGAAGGATGATTAGAATGTTGCAATATGAAGTTAGCCTTACATTTACAGAGACAGAGTTGTTTGCATGTATTAGATTAAAATAAAAAAAACAAGCCCACATGATTTTATTATGATTACTGTTTGGAAGGGTAATCAGGTTTAAGGCAAATGTCAACTTAAACAGAGAAGAAACCCCTGAGGATGAAAATGACTCAGAGAGTGATGCAGAGAGTTTAAGTTGGGAAGAACTGATCTTGTGCATAAGGAGAAAAAATATGACCTTCTCCTTGCTACTGTCACATATGAATTAATAGGACTATTGGCAAATTCATAATAATAGGAATAAAGCCCAGCAGCACATCAGTCTGACTTTAGGAAGTTTTATTGCTGTCTATGTTAACTGAGCACGTAATGGTACAAATGATTATGATGAATAGCGAATGATTAATCTTAGAAAACCAGAATGCCTTTTTATTTCAGTTTCACCATCTTTAGCAGGTAGATCTGGATTGCTAAATTACTATGAAAGTGAAGGGGAGAAGATGGTTAAAACAGGAAAAATAAAGTATTAAATGCATGCACACCTGAAGCTAAGCCTGATTTGCTCGTAATGAACTTGAAGTCCTTTCTGCAAATGTGTTTGAATTGCAGCTAGGAGAGCAGGAAGCAAATTCTGCCTTTACTTACACTTCTCCTGCTGCAGATTTGCTCTGTTCCAAGCTGGTTTCATCCTTGTGCCTCTACCTCACTGGGGATGAACTTAGCAGCCTTGGAGGTGGTTTGAACTCCACGCAGACCATCTCCTCAATTAACCACAGGTCAATTAACCAGGTTGGGGCTCCTGGCAGGTGGGAGCCGTGCGAACAGGATGGGCGCAGGAGGAGCTGGGGCCCTGGCTCGTCCAGCACCCACGTGTGCAGGAGCTGCTGCAGGTTGTGGGTGCTGACAGGCCCATCCCAGCACAGAGCACAGGGAGGTTCCCGCTCACATGGAGGTACGTGGGGCTGGAGGGACGTGGGGATGGTTCTCTGCAGAGTTGGGGTCGGCTGGGTGAACCCACAGCGTTGTTTGCCCACGCAGAGGGTGGGTTTTTTGGGTTGCTTTTGTGTCTTCATCGTGGCTAACACCGTGGGCCTTGCAGCCCTGCAGCTTGGAAGCTTCCAAGTTTGGCTTGGGAACAGCAGGACTAGGGAGCTCTCAGCTAACACTCCCCGTGTGTCAGACCCAGCGCCCCTTCGAGGTCGCCCTCTCACGGCTCCTCCGAGCCCTGCTCTGTGAGTCCTGCCTCTCCGGGACGGCTCGGGGCCTTTCTCCTGCCCGGCTCCGGGCCCGCTAGCTGGGAGCTGCGTTGGTGTCTCCAGCACCAGCCCTTGGTGCTACCACCCAAGGGCTCCGGCTCCTCGTGTGAGTGTCTCGACAGTCCTAAGGGCTCTCTGCCCCTTTTGGGAAAGGCCCCTGGATGCTCCAGCTGCCGGGCTCAGATCGGTGCTGGTGGAGGAGGCTTCCCTGGCACTGCGGGGAGCCAGCAGCCGTGCGGAGCAGTTGTGCTGGTTTCTTGGGCTTGGGCACATTGGTGGGTGGGTTAGAGAAGCAGAGTTCAGGGCCCTGTTTGTCCTCGGGGTTGTGGTCCTGCTCGAAACTACACCAGAGGCAGAGGATGGTCCTCAAGGGCACGTGCTGGGCTCCCCATCTTGCTCTGAAACGTTCCCCCTGTCCCGGGTGGCTGTAGCTGTAGGACCCTGGTGGGTCCTGTGGTCTCTCCAGCTGGACACGGGGTTTCAGTCTGTCCCCGCGCACAAGCTGGGGCTGGGGCTGGTCCTTGAGCAGGTTCTGAGCCAGGCGAGATCCGGAGAAGTCGCTGTTCATGTGGCAGGTTCTGTGACGAGAGCCTGCAGTGTGCGGACTCTTCCCTGGAGTGATTTATTGTGAAGCTGGCGTTGCTCTGCGCTGCCAGGAGAGCATCCCGGAGGAGGCAGCTCCAGCCTCAGCCTCCCCTCCGCTCTCCCCTTTCCCGAGAGCCCCGGCAGGGCTGTTCCCCCTTCCCTGAGCCGCAGGTTCCTTGGGATTCTGGCCCCTTGGCCCAGGCTCCAGACCTTGTTGCCGCTTCCCAGCGCTGGTCCAGGCCCACTTTCACCAGGGGAGTTTACAGCGTCTTCCAGATGTGAAGTGGCAAATTTAAATATTGCAATTACAGCCGTGTAGCAGAGCCTTGTACTTCATTAATGTAAGAGAAGGAATCTGCTAAGGCTACAAGGACAATTAAAAATTACAGAAAAAAAAAATGCTGTGTAAATGGAAGGAAGGTTGCTCGATGTGCCTTGCCTTCGCGCTCACAAAATGAAAAGCACACCCACTGCAAGTTGTCCTTTGATAGATTTTTAATATGATTTTAAAGAGTTTTGTTTGGCCTCATTCTTATTCAATGAGATTAATTTAAAGCACTTATCCCCTGGGTTTAAGTCAATCCATGTAGGATTTGGGACGGGGTTTGTTGCCCGGGGAGGGGGTTTGTTTACAGGCCTCGCTGAAAGACTCCTTTCCCACTTCATTAACCCAGAGCTGGGAGCAACCCGCCCCCCTCCTTCCTCCTCCTCCTCCTCCTCCTCGTCCCCGCAGCCCGTGCCAGCGGA